AATAAATCTGACAAACATATACATAGATATATAAATATAGGTATACATAATTGAATACATTGTTGGTATTATTATTTTGAACAGATTGTTTAATTGTACATAAGAAAAGTTAAAATTTTTATTTTACTTTCTCATACACCTTTGATGTTCTTGTTTTATGTAGATATGAGTTTCTGACATATATTATTTCTGTTCTTTCTAGGGAATTTCTATTTAACTGTTCTTTTTTTTTAAGATTAATTTATTTATGCATACAGAACTGGGTGCAGGCCTTAGGTGCAGGGGTGGTGAGACTATTCAACAGAGACAGAGTGGGGAACAGAACAGGTGGAAAGACTGAAATAACACTATTGAGGGGAACAGTGGGTGAGTCAAAAGAGGTCTGCAGTGCCATGTTGGTCCCCTCTGGGGTGGGGATCAAACTCATGCTGAACTAGCTTTAGCTTCTTAGTTCTGTGCTTTAACCTGCTTACCCACCAGACCAGGGAGGGCCCTTAACATTTCTTTTAAGACAAGTCTAATTGCAACAATTTCTCTCAGTTTTTCTTTGTCTGAGAAAATATTTCTCTAATTTTGAATGCTATTTTTGTATGGGGTACAGAATTCTAGGCTTGTGATATTTTTCTCCCAGCATTTTAAATATTTTACTTTATGCTTTTTTGTGATTTCTGAGAAGTTCGACACAGTTCTAATCTTTGGGCCACTATTGATAAGTTTCTTTTCCCTCTGGACTGTTTTTTTTTTTTCTTTATCATTTTCTGTAATTTGAAAAACTGTTATGCCTTGGTTTAGGCTTTTATTTTTTGGCATTATCTTTCTCTGAGTTTTCTGTGGTTTGGCATCAGTCATTAATTCTGGAAATTCTTGGCCATTTATTATTTTAAATATTTCTCCTGTTCCTTTCTGTTTTCTTCTTCTGCTGTTTCTATGTTTACATTACACCTATTATAGTTGTTGTGCAATCCTTGCATATTTTGTGTGTGTTTTTTTTCAGTTTTTATTCTCATTGACATTTTCATTTTCAAGGATTGTAGGTTAAAGAATCTAGCTCATAGATTCTTTTCTCAACCATGTCCAGAGTACTGAAATATCCATTAAAGATATTATTCATTTCTGTTATAATTATTTTTTAATCTTTAGTATTCCTTATTGGTCTTTCTTAGGATTTCTAACCCTGTGCTTTCATTCACGTTCTGGTTTTGTATGCTGTCTGTTTTATCCATTAGTGACCATACCATATTAATCATAGTTATTTTAAATTTGCAGTTCGATAATCCCATCATTCCTGTAATGTCTGGTTATTGTGTTAACTCTGTCTCTTCAAATTGTGGATTTTGCTTTTTGGTTTTTTAATATGTAGGCATGGGGTAAAAGTAATGTGTAATGGGTAGTAATGTGGTGACTAGGTGTGGTAGGAGAGGAGGATTTCTGTTGTAGTAGGACTAGTTCTCAGTATCTTAGGAGCTTTAAATTGTGAACTTCACAGGTATTTCTCATTTCTTTTTGTCCACCCTTAGGTAGTACAGGATGGCTAATATCAGCTAGGATTGAGATGGAATATTTTTGTTTCCCAGATCAGCTAGACTCTGTAATATCCCAGAAAGTTAGGCTCTGACAAACCAGTTTCCCTTAGAGCAGATCTTGTTAAAAAGAACTGAGTGCCCTGGTATATTTCAGTGGTTCCTTTTACCTCCTTTCAAAGTCCTAGGGGATTTTCTCTGATATTTATTATGGGAATCTGGTTGAGCTCCTGAATTAAGTTGACAATATTGTGTGTTCTCCACTATGATTATTTCCCCCTGGAGTTTTTAACTCTCAGACTTGTTGTGTGAGGCTCAAGCAATCTGCCAATTACAGTTCGCATTTTCCTGCCCTGGCACTGGTTCTCTTGGTAGTTTCTCCTCATAAATCTCTCCTCTGGTAAGTTGCAACTCCTTTTCAAACTTGAAAGAAGTGGATTTCTCTGTATCCAGGAGAATTGTTGGTTTTTAGTCTTTTTTTTTTTTATAGTGTAGTCACAGTTTTATTTATTTTTATTTTTAATACAATATAATAGTTTATTTTTATATCATTTTGTACATTTTTTCACCTCAATTTTAATCTCCATGGGCTTCACATCACCAAGTCACCCATGTGCCATTACCATAGTCCAGTGTACTTCTCTCCCCCCACCCCCCCAGTTTTTGATACCATTCCCCACTCTACCACCACAAAATGTCTCTGGTATATGGCTGTTCATTATTCTTATTGTTTTCTCACCTGGTCCATTATACTCCTGCTATGAGTGAAACCATCCAGTATTTTTTCTTTTTCTTTCTGGCTTATCTCACTAAGCATGATCTTTTCCAGCTTTATCCATGTTGCTGCAAAAGACGTGTTTCTTTTTTTTTTTTGTTTTCTCACCCAGTCCTTTATGCTCCTGCTATGAGAGAAACCATCCGGTATTTTTCTTTTTCTTTCTGGCTTATTTCACCTAAGCATGATCCCTTCCAGCCCCATCCATGTTGCTGCAAAATGCGAGTTTATCTTTCTTGATTGCTGAGTAATATTCCACCAAC